CGCAAATTCATTGCCTATTCGACAAAATGAGCATTATTTTTTGCCTCTGTAATATTCGCTCTGCTAAGAGCTGTCTTTTATCAAAATTCTATAATGAATCAGAAATCAGAGCCATATACAGATTAAAACCTGACATTTAATTGAAGTGTTTCCATTCTTCAAACAGGCTTTAGGTTTGTTACTCTTAGGACTAAAGGACAGGATGGTAAAACATGTAGAAAAAGTAGCATTCGTGCTGATCAACAGCTTGTGTCCAAGAATGAGGCAATACCTGCTAGTAAGTCATATAAGGTTTTTAATAGGTCATGAACTCGCACAAAGCCAATGTCTTGTATAAAACATTAAGTACACCCACTTCTAAAAGTGCTACTGTGCCCCTGGTCACCTATTTGTCTGACTGGCTGCTCTGCATTCCTTCTAGTGTATTTATAGAAAGCTGCAATTCATAAATACCAATTTGTACCATTATCTTCATACATGCCAGGTACTTGTAATATTGAAAACTGGAAATTGTTCTTAGGGCATACCTGAAGTTAGCAGAAAGATGATAAATAAGAATGGCATCATACCTGTTAAACAGTGAGTGTAAATGTGTAGAACTCTTATTCCTTTCCTGAAATTATTTATTAAATAGTAAGTCTTTAATTTGCTGTATCTTGCTAAAGCTTCCATCTTAAAGTAAGGTAACTCTTCATGGTGTCATTGTTTAAGTCTCACAGGAACCTACACACGTGCTCACACACACACGTGTGTGTGTATATATGGGAAAATCGGTGTATTTTTCCTCACTTACATGGTCCAAACATTTAGGTCCAAGAGGCAGGTTTTATTAAGTTCCCACTCCATAGATGCTTTAAAATCTAACAGTCTGATTCTGTTTTCTGTGAACATAAATCAAGGATTAACTGAATTACACTGGTAAAATCAAGCCAAGATCAGATTCCGGCTTTATCATTCCAAGAAGCCAAGTTTAGTCTTCCTTCTCAGCCTCACAGTCATTTGCTGAAAAACTGTGGTTAGCAGGGATTTTTTGTTTAAAAGCCGCAATTTCTAATAAATGTGTTGTTTGCCCTCTGGCTTGACATCAAAGACAGTTTCATAATGAGGGTGGCTCCTACTGAATTATATTTCCCCTCAGTTTGCATGGGGAAGTGGGGCACCTATTACACACAGGCAATTGTTGACTGCATGCAACTACAAAGGGAGGATATAAAACAGTTTGTTTCCTTCACGTTTTTAAAATACAGCTCTTAAAAGCATCCATGTCAACTTGAAAAAAATCACTTGTACTTACTTGCAAGAAGCCTACTTGTTAGAGTTAAGATGCCAAGGTCCATGTCTGTGCCAAAGAAAGGATATGGACCCTACGTGGCCTGGGAGCTCTCAGAGGCAGTCAGCCTGAACCAGCCCGATGTGTCTCACTCCTGCTTAAAACTCAGAGGAGAAAAAGATGTTTTCTTAAAAAAAGAAGGATCAAATGATCACATCTCAAGAAACATTAAGCAGAGTGTGATTGTAAAGTCTTTATATACTGCCTGCTTTTCACAAATCTTCCTCTTCCTCTTTGAGCCCCATTTTCTTCTTTCTGCAGTTGACTGATGAAAACTTCAGTTGAGCCTTTTCAACACGAATCTGTTTGACTTCTTTCAACAGTGTTTCACATCTTGACCAAAAGGTTAGGGATAAGTTTTCCTGGAAAAACTTGTGAACAGTCTTGCCACTCCATTTTTCCTCCCCCCCCCCCCGCCCCAGTAGTAGGTTTTAGTTAGTCTTCACAGAATTTACTGCTAAAGAATACAAGATAAGACTCTTCCTACTAAAGTTTGAATATCCTTGTATTCATATATTTCTTCCTGACAGGTGACATAACATGATCTCTGGATCTTCACTATCATCTTCCATCTGCTTTGAATTACAAGTCCTTTAAATCATTTGCTTAATCTGAATTATTATCAACAAGTGTGTCTTTTTTGCTTTAAATAGCAACTGTGCATGAAAGCGTGGGGCCTTATAAACATTACTAGGGTCAGCACCAGTAGAAGTGGAGTAAGAGTATATATTTTGCCTCCCTCCAATTTTCCTTGTAACTCATGCCTCCTGCGTGTCCCCAGGTGTCTGTTACAGCAGGCCGTGGGAGAGCCGCCGTGCAGGGCAGTCCCACTGGGAGCTGCTGGGGCTCTGCTCTCCATAACCATAGTAGCAGAAGGAGCCCACATGGCTAGCTGTGTTTTTCAGGATGCTTCTCTGACTGACTGATTAGTCACTGTCTACTCCTTTGCTCACCTGGTATGGACACAAGGCTGCATTGACTTATCGTGAGCTGTGGTACAAGTTGATAAGGTGGATTTCAGAGGCAGGGACAAGGTCTTCAGTGTGCACCTACCATGGGCAGGTCCTGCTCCATGACAGCGGTCCCCAGCAGTTACCACACTACATACAGTAACTGGCAATAGGAAGACCTGCTTTCACTCCAAGCTGCTGTCCTCCCTGCACCCCACTCTGCCATCCTTCTCACAAATCTTACAGGAAACTTGGTGGTCAGGGCTGGCAGAAGTACTAAGCAAAATGCCTCAGTGAAGCAGCGAGAGGCAGGGCAAAGCACATTAGAAATAGTTGTACTTACACTAAACTCCTTTATCTCATGTCAGAAGAACATTTTTCTCAGAGTCTTCACCAGTGTCTCAGTGCCCATCCAACGTCCTTCACCCTCTATACAAACTTAGCTGAGCACCTCAGCTGGCAACAGGGCCCACTTGTTTTCAGGCTTTCTCTCAGGGTGATGATTGCTCATGGTGATACCGCTAATTTCACCACAGGTTTCTCTTAGGTGTGATGCAAGTTGTAACAACCTGTTTCTGGAGCTGAACACATGAGACCTCAGCTTTCCACTTAAAAAGATGCATTGAAGCTGGGGAGAGGCCTTTGAAAAATGACCAGAGACAAAGCAGTAGGCTCAGACAAGATACAGAAAAATAGAAGAACACATTTTTATTTTGGTCTAAGCAAAGACCAAAGCTCTCGGCGTGTCTCCGCTATGACCCTGAGGATGTCAGCCCGGAGGTGATGCTGAGCAGTGACTGCTTCACTGCCTGGAGCCTGCTCCCAGTGGTGGGGCTAGTGTCACCCCTTCACTAGTGTCACCCCTTCAGCAAGCTGTCACGGAGACGGTGGGCAGCTCCTGGAGGTGCCCTGAGCCACAGCCCCACCAGGGCAACGTGGCGCTGGACTGGACCGAATGCTCAGCACAGCCCCTCGCAGAGCTGCAGCACCCACTGCTTCACATGGCTCTCACTTCTCCAGATTAACTCAACATCCTGTTTAGCACTTCATTTTGTGCACAGCCAATTGGTTTTTCACTGAGGAAATAAGCTCTCCGTGTTCAGCGTGACACATACATAAATACATATGCACATACACACACGTGCATGCACACACACAGACATCAGTCCTTTAAAGCCCTGTGGGTGTCTTCTTTCATATTTCTACCCTGTGGCTTGACAAAGCCAGGAAATGTAAAAAGCAGTCAAAATGTTAGGGGGAAAAACAGATAGAAATGCCTTTTCCACAGAAAACGTGGAGCAGCTCCCAGGCTGACTGGCCCAGACCTGCCAGCTCACTTTGTGCCTTGCTTCCTCCTCCTCCTCCTCCTCCTCTGTGGCTTCTCAGGGGTTTCCATGCCACAAGCGCCAGTCAGGCACTTTGCTGAATCAGACCCACTGCTGCCAAAGACACTTTCTCCCCATAAATTCAGACTTTTACCAGTGCTTATTACAGCTATTAAATTCACTTATTGTAGTATCACGCCTCTCTTATTAAGATTTTAATCAGCATTTCCACTGGAAAGCCTTACTCTCAAAGAGTTATAAAACTGCCTGTATAAAGTTGATTACTGCTGAAATTTAGAATCCAGCTTCTTCGCTCACGGCTATGTTTCTTTCTTGCTTACTTGATTTCTGTTTGCAAAAGCTGATGTAAATTGGTTTGGCAAGTTTGTTTAATTCCAAGGATAAACAATTCCTGACTTAAGAGGCATTTTTTTCTGGTGCGTGGAAAGCGATGGAATGAAATTATCCTAAGTTACCTGACTACAATATTAAAGAATTACCCCGGATATCTTTTTTTTCCTGTTAAATGTTGATATTTTTTACCTAGGAATGCAACTAAAGAATTTAACCATTCACATTGTTTTTAAGCACTGAGTATTTTTGGAATGGTGTACAGTGCTTAATGGGAAGGCAATCACAGAAGGTTAAAGACTTTCAAAATACACACCAGCGCCTAAATGCCAACAACCCATATCACTTCAATGAACTGTGCAGTATGTGTTGGCATGATTTATGTAGCAATTTTAAAAGAATCTGTAGTATTTGTTTATTACCAGAGCATGATTGATGGGTTCCTAAGTGCACGGCGACACAATCAGCTGAGCTATTACGGCTGGGAGTTTGATAATTTGTGAGTTACAGCCATTACAGCATGTCATTTCAGTCACTTGCCAGAAGTCGTTAGGGTATCAGTGACCTCAGAGAAACCGGTGAGACGAGACCCGCGGCCGATGGTGTCACTGTCGGACCACCTCTCCTGCATGGTCACACTGCTGCCCAGCTGCCTTGGCTCTCCTAGTCTCCTTCCCTGACCCTCCTTGGTAAAGAAAATACACCATTTAGCCCAAGGAACAACTCCTTCAGGTTCTGCTCTCATCCTCACCCCTTCCGAATGTTAGAAGACTGGTACCAGTGTGACTCAAGCCACAGGGTAGGAAAGGCTGCTCTAGTGTTGTCTTCTGACAGTCACTCGCTTCGTGACAGGCAACCACGTAGACAAAGCCACCATGTACCCTGGAAATACACCCTTCACTGGGAGCCACTGGAACAACCTCAGTTCCTTCCTGGGACAAATAGCCCAGGCTTAAGTTTACATACAATACATTATGTCTAAGTCTTCACTGGATTTAGGCATTTATTTGCAACACAAAAAAATCAAGTATGAAAGAAATTGTATTTATCTTTTATTTTTCTTTTTTTTTTTTTTACAAAAATAAACAATTTGAGAAACAAAAGCACATTTATTTTCCTGACTGTACAAACTACAAAACAGTATGACATTGGTCACTTTAGCACTTACTTTATTGCTTTCACTGAAAGCAAATTCTCTAGACACACCATGCCTGTAAAACGCATTTTATATAGAATTAAGGCTAGCATTCATTTGACATTATTAAGGTCATTTACTTCTTTCACTCTAAGAATTAGCAAGCAGTGCCTTAGAAAACCAAGGATTTGATGATAAAAAATACAAATAACTGCCAGATAGTCATTAAACTAGTACTGTTCCACCAGCTGGATTGCTTTGCTAGTCTGTCAAAGATGTGGCTTCCTGAACAATTCAAACTTAATTCAACAAAAGTCTTAAGCACAGGCTTAATTGTAAGCATATGCTTAGGCCTATCCCTATTCAGCAAAGCACTGGGCACTTGGTTAAGTCCCTACCCTTTTAGTGGGACTATTCATATGTTTATGTGATTCGCTAGACCTACGAAATGGCTCTTTTAAATTAAAAATGAAACTTTATGATAACATTGGAAGCAAAAATGAAAATTAGCTACAGTCTTGCAATTCTAAACATAACCAATTCCTTCCTTTTGACAAATATGCCAGCATTGCATTTGATAGCTTTAACACAAATGCTGATTGTCTTCAGTAACGTTTGCTGTTCAGCTTACAAACTGATATGCTTCAGTTACTGTGTTGTGATTGTACGTGCCCAAATAAATATCAGCGCGGAGGATACAGACTTCGCACAGAAATTATCAACTTTCATCCCTGTACACACACATACAGGTCAGAAACGGTTTGCTAACCTTGGTTAGAAAAGCCAGAGCTGCCAGCTGATTTATAACCAAAATTATAACCTAACAGTGTATCGTATCTTGTATTTTGCTTTGTTTTTTTTAAAAAAATCACATTTTCAAAATGTTGTTTTATTGCACGTTCATCCTGGGCATGCAGGTTATTTCTTTAAAGTTTTGTTTAGCACTCTATAGATTAGAATGAGTAATAGTGCAATTATCTCTCCGGCCACAGCCGCCTTCTACCTAACAGCTGCCTATATTTATACACAAACAGCTCTTGTCACTCACACGTCAGAGTGAGCCACTTTAGGTGTCAGTCAGTCACCTTCACATATGTTATCTTGTCAGGATCAGGCATGATATGATTTGAGGCCGTCTTGAAGAAGACAAGCTGCCGACCTGCACCGAATAGGAAAAGGGGAGGTGGGAGGAGGAAGCGGGGAAGGGAAAAAAAAAAAAAAATTAGAAGTGATGAACAAAAGGTTGCCTATCTTAAAATACTGACATTTCATATTCTTCTTCAACCTATGCATTTTCAGGAAACCCAAGACTGAACTCTCTCTTAACTTCAACTGGTATAAACCTGAAATGCTTTCGTCTAAAATGACACCAAATCTCCCCTGGTTTCAGTATGTTTACTCTTATCTAATTATGGTCAAGATAGAGCTGTCCACAGCTAATATGGTAAACGAAGGAAAGGTCTGAAGATTTTAATACAAATTTCACATGATCTTTAAAAAAGTATTTAAAGACTCTCCAACTGATCAAAACAGGCTTGAGTTCAGGGCTTAAATGAAGGACATTGATTTGAGTGTACAGGAGCAGAATCATCTTTGCGTGCTTGAATCTTTGCAAAACTGATCAGTGCAATGTATGTTAAACACGACTTTCTCTGAAATAGCTCTTGCTGATCACTTTGTAGCTCTGGGTTTTAAACAAGCTGGAACAAGGTTTCTACTCCTCAAGCAAAAAGCACCAGCAAGTGATAACAGCCTGGGTTAGTGTAAGGCATCTGCCAGATATACATCCAAGGCCAGTGGGGGCTGCGTTTGGTGAGGTTTCACTCACTGGTATTTGTGGGAGCCGCAGTACAGTTCTTGTGTCTCCCCATGCTTAATGACCTGGCATCTTGTTCACAGCCCTGCCTCTCGAGGAGTACCTGCCGTCCCACGGACCCGCACTGTCATTGCCTTTCCTTGCAGAGATACTTGCCACATCTGTTCAGCCTCTGCCTTCCCTCTCTCTAAACTTCAGATAATCAAATGCTATTTACTCCCAGCTGCCTCTCTAGGGGGCTCCCATAACACTATTTTCTTAAAAAGTAGCACATGGCAAATGGGATGCCTCAACTACTGAGCAAATTTCCGTGCCGCAGGTTTCAGGGACTCAAGTGCTCATGCCTCAGGAACACCAAGGTAAAGGGAATGCTAAATAGGACTAGAAATATTGCTACTATGTCTCATTTGCTTTTAATATTGTAACCTCAGACAGGAGCTGCTCCAAACTTCCTATGAATTTCCCTGTGCCATAATAATTACTTTTTTAGTATATTAATTAACTACAATAGTCTGACTATAGACAGACTGACATGATGACCTAGTAGTCACTGGTTAGCCACAGGCAAGGTTAATATAAATTAGTTTTTTCTAGGTTCCATGGAAGTCTCTGTTTGTACCTCCCAGAAGCACAAAAAATGCAGAAAGCTGTAGCAGTACACTACCTAAAATACTCTGAAACATGAACTATCTAAAGTTTCTAGTTGCTAGTGACGCTTTCAGAGCTGGGGACCCGCTAGCCATGTATATAGGCCTGGCTGTGGTGTGTATTTATGTTGCTCAACTAAACACAACTAAAGCACCCAACTGCACCGGGGTAGATTTTGACTTCAGGTTAAGATATGAGATTGCAGAGGTACAGACAGAAAGCTGAGCCTCCGAGCCTAAATAACTTGCCACACTGGGTGCAGTGTGCCCAGGGGATGGGGCCAGCCGCCGGGACATGCGGCTCTCCGGGGCACGTGGGGAAGGGGCGCGGGGTTGGGAGCCGGCTGCGGCATTCCGCTCTTTGAACCCCGCAGCCACTCTGGAGCTGCAGCTACCGGAGATTTTTAGCAGAGACTTGTAACATTTTTGTTTCTCAGATTGCTCTGGAGCGAGTTGCTTGAAACAGGCGCAAGTATGGTGCAGAAGCAGCACGCCAGGGCCAACTCTACACTTGATGTCAATCGGCACCGACTGCCTGCCTTCAGGGGAACCACACTGGGATTGCCAGGCCCACAGACCTTTTGGAAAATGTATTTCTCTTTTCAACAAGTGTATTCTGTTAGACAAGAAAATGAGTTGCGGTAGCAAATGGGATTTTCCCCTGGAAGTTCTACTCCTGCTACATCTACTTCTGCCTGGTTTTAAACCCTCCCTTCTCACTGTTCTTTAGCCAAAGCCCTACTGCCAGAAGCACGATGCTCCCACCAGCAGCAGGGCATCTCTGACACCGGCCGGGAAGTCCCAGCTAGGCACACAGAAGAACCTGTTTGGTTTTGTGTCAAACTGCAACAGCCATTGGGATTGGAAAGATTTATTTAAATCCAGATGTTGGACCACGTCCTGCACATTTAACTGCGGAAAGAGGTCACAGGCTTTTGTTGTGGTTTCTGCTGCTGTGTTTTAAAATAAAATTTCAGACCTCGCGGTTTGGACACCTATGGTCCATGTGCCGTAGCGCTCTGGTGCCAGCTCCCCTGAGTCCGTCGGCAGGTTTCTGCTCCCCCGACAGCTGGCAAAGAGAAGCCCCACCAAAACCGAAACTGCCTCAGCTGGAGCTTCAGAAACTATCCCACTTCTAGCTGCTGCTGGCGGCTCCCACAGCCCAGCACAGCATGCTCCCTAAACTGTATTAAAACACTTAAAGCAGCCAGAATACGTGACTCAGCTGCTGCTTCTGCTCCGCAGCATCCGCAACCTACCTGTCCAAGTTGTCTGGTTAGTTAGGACGAAAGCTTTGCACTGGGAGTAGCTGTCACAGATCTCAATGGCTTCATTGACATCAAACACAGAGAGGAGGCAGCCCTTATGATGGTAAGATGGCCAGCATCTGTAGTTCTCATCAGGAATAAAAGCTTCAGGCACCCGTCTGTACTCTGCAAATAACCAAAGCAAAGCAATCACTTTCAAAGCTCCAGCAAACTGCTTGTTTTTAACAGGCAAGGTTTATTATAACAGCTTAGGAGCAGGATATATGATGGAAAAGGTGACGGGCTAGACTGTACCAGCCCCGGTTTACTCCCAAATGTGTTTATAGCTCTGCACCTTACTTCCTTTTCCTTTCCTCCTTTCTTCTTCTCACCTTTTTCTCCAGAAAGCGTCTGTAAATAAACAGTCTGTGCACAAAACCCTTTCCCCTTCCTCACTGCACAGGCGAGGCTTTGGTTTTATGAGGAGTTTTACAGGAAGAATGTCCCATTGAATAAACAGCATCCACTTGAATGAACTGACTCACTGTCCTACTTCTTAACAGTGAGCAGGATTGTCAGGGTGAGACCCGACCAGGCGTTCCCAGCCCTCCCTCTCCCTCAGAAGAGCATGCTATTTTCCTTCAGCTCCTTTAGAGAAGGAAGAAAAGACAGGCTTTTAATTAAGCAAACTTTTTTTGCTTGCTCAGATTAGTACAAAAGGGGAGTTTCTTGATGGGCCTCCGAAGAGAAGGAAAAAAAAAAGTAGCGGGAGCATGTCAGCATGGTCCTCGCCCAGCGCCTCCGCGCTGCCCTGCCGATTACTCCTCTCCCTTGGCTGCCGTTCAGTCTCACTAGCCTTTATGAGCTGCCTCTTGTTCTCTGTTCACAGCTCCTCTCACTTTCCCAGCCGCTGACGGGGGTTCCTCTAATGAATGCATCAGCAAATTCAACTAATCATTTATAAACATTTCTGTTTAGCGTCCAGACGCACAAATTGATGGTTCGCTCCTGTCTCCCCCCGCTACATCCTATTCAAAAAAATAAATAACATTCTATATTTCTTCTAATTGTATCTATCATGGAAACCAGAGCTGCCGGCCCTGACTCACAGCCTATTCTTAAGTCACTTTGGTTCAGGCATTTTCTGCCTGAAATTGCAGATTCAGCCCCTTAATATTTCACACAGCACACAGTACGAACACCACCGAGTCAAAGGCGAGTGTGTCTACTACTCTAAACTGCCAGTATTTCAACTGGGAAAAGAAGTATACATCCACAAGTGCTCGTTCACACCACACAGTCTGAAATAGTGGGAAACAAATGCAGTAAATGCATTCTATTTTAAGCCTGGCTCAGTAAAAGTATCATAAGAAACATTCCCAAACAACAAGCAAAATCAAAGCTGATCATGTCCCACTTAAATCAAAGGCAAAAAAGTTTTCATTAATTTAGAAAAAGCAGACTCACACAGATGAAGAAACTAAAACCCAAATAAAAATGCAATTTTACATTACAAATGGTCATGTCTCCATAAAAAATACATATGTATTTATTCTGAAGAAAAGTCACAGCATAAATCAAACTGCTACTAGCTGGATAGGTAAAGTCCCTTTTTTTAAATTTCTGTATCAAATGTACAGTGTAACAATAATTGAATGTAACTGAATAATATTCTCTATCTCTGTATGGTCACTGCTGAGTATTGATTTGTACCTCACAGCCAAGGTCAGTAAAATGATATGTGCAAATGAAATGCAAAACAATCAATTCATTATTGTCAGCACCATATACAATAATCTGTATCAGCATGCGTGCCGTGTTGACTGGGTATAAAATGTGACTATTCACAACTTTTCTTTGCACGGCTACAGAAGTGCCACCTAACACTGCACTGCGCCAAACCTCACGCCACAGAGGACGTTCACAGAATGACGGCACTTGCTGCAGCAGAAGAAGATGAAGCATCTGCCTGATTCTCTGCGTCAGCAGGGAGCGTGCACCAGCCCTTCCCGAGGGTGTCCTCAGAGCCCATCGGGCTCCACACCGGGGCTGGGAGAGAACTGCAGCATCCCTCGGCACGCCATCAGGGCACTAACCAGAGCAGCCCCGTGTCGCATCATGTATTTTTCTCCATGCAAGGCAGAAGCCCAACTGGAAGATACTTATTTTGAATTATCATTAAATTTTTAAACTCTTCTGTGCCCAGATATGCCTCTTAATATGCCTATAGCACTTTCTTTCTTCTCAACAGTTCCCGGTACAGCTGTCAGGGGTTAGGCTCTCAACTGACATAAACAGATTTCAAAAGAGCAGCAGTGATTTACATGACCTGAGGCTCTGTTAGAGGTAGGAGATAAAGTTCTCTCATTCCATTGACTTTTTCAAGGTGACCGAGCCTGGTAAATCATTTGGGCAGCTTGGACACATTAATCGACAGAGTTGGGCCAGCAATAACTGTGATGGTGATGGCAAGCTCCTGGCTTGCAGGTGCAAGAAAGGATGCAAACCCCCACGCCGGTACCTAGGGTGGTCTCACCATGCAGCAGAGCCCTGTGGCTGTTCCTACTCTCCTTGCTGCTCCCTGCCAGTTCCTACACAAGGAAGCCACCACCATCTGCATGACTCATGGGAACAGGGCAGCGTAACAGGTACACAGCAGTGTGACCCACATGCAAAGAGCATTTTCCTTGGCTGGGAGATCATCGAGCACCCGACAGGTGAAAATACAGCCACCAGAGTCTAAGGGAAAGCACAGAGTGAGTCACACAGCCTCTACGAAGGCAGCTTCTGGCAGCTCCCCCGAACTGGCACAGACCGCTGAATGCCTGCAGTTTGGGGATCTGAGCCTGCTGCCTACAGGGAGGGGAGTGGGATGCAGCGAGGGGGAAAGGCAGGAAGGCAGCAGGGGCGGCTGGCTGCCTGGGAGTGCCTTCCCCCAGGAGCATCCCGATGGGAAGGCAGCCACGAGGAGCAGAGAGCGGGACGTGCGATGGCCCCGCACCCTGGCTCACACTCCCAAACCAGCCCAGCACTCCCACCGCCCTGGGAAGCCAACACGGGATCTCCTCTTCCAACTATTACAGTCAGAACTGATCAGAAAGTCATTGCAACACCAAGCGCTGGTCTGGGGAAACCGCACTTCTCTCCAAAACTCACTTTATCTCGAGCAGAGCAAGGTACCTGCCTTCTCCGTTTGCACGGCAAAGGCAAATATCCCTGGAATCTCTTATTTACACAGCAACAAACTAGGGAGCTGACCCCTTAGCCCTTATTTGTACGAGTTGTGAAGAAATGCACTCCTCACATGAACTAGAAGGACGCTCCTGAAGGATGCCCCTCCACTGAGATGTGCTCTGGCCATGACATTAGCCCCAGCCCACAGGAGAGCTGGGCTTCCCCTACAACTTTAAATGATCGTCTTGATCACTACAGTGCGGTTACTTCCTCAATTAAGCAATACTCCACTGGTTTAAAGACAGCTCCAGCTCAGGTTTTTGTCCTGCCAAGACCTGAGACTTGCTTAAATGGAGTCCGTGGAATTTGAAGGCTCACGGCAGTAAATCACATCATAAAAAGGTCAAAGTTCTGGTCGATTTCCAGACTAATGGTGTTTAAAACCAATAAATACTTGCCTAATACTACAAATGCAGCTATAAATTTACACTTTTGCATACATACACGTAGCTTGACACAAAGTACATAAAGTCTATCAAGGTAATGGCAAGGAACAGGTCAGAGAAATGCAAGATGTTCCTACCGGTATCACAACTGAAAAAGAATCCTTTTCTCCATCTACTGGTTTTGTGAGGATTGAAGCAAATAAATGCAATGCAGTAAGCCTGATCTTGATGTCGCTTACAACAGATTTACTCCAGCTTAACGTACAGGAGCTGATTCCCTGCTCACAGTTATACAAATAAATCCTACGAGGAAAACGTTTTTCCTGCCCTGTAAACATTGTAAAACTTCAACATATCTTGCTATGCTGAATCTGGGAAATCCTCAAAAGTTTTGTTTTGTCATATTTTTAATAGTTTTAAAATATTTTTACAAGTTTGCTCTGGTCAATCAAAACACACTGTTTCGATCCCACCAAAATCTCAGGAAGTTTGTTACAGCACTAGCCAGTCCCCATGACAGCCACAGTGATATTCAAACCAAGCACCTTCTCATGACAGGTGAGAGGCATCTTTAAAAGCAATCTGCAGCATCACTGACCAGTGCAACAGCTATAAAAGAAAGTCAATGCTTTAAAATCTTATTCTAAATTTTTTCCATCAAAAGTCACCTGCGTTGTCCCAAAGCCGACTACAATCTATAAACACACTCATTTTCACTGTACTAGACTGAATCATATAAATAACTCCACAAGTATATAATAAACTATGTGAAACCGCCTGTGGTTTCCCCCTTTTAGCTTGTTTGAATCACCCTAAATCTGACTTTAATCAGTCCTAATGACCGTTTATTTCAGCCACAGCAGCCAGATTGCATTTTTACTACCAACTACAGCTACTCGTTGGAAATTTGCCCAGTTCTCTTTTCTAGTTATCACCTGCCAATACACCATGGGTCAATGACACAGATGCAGTAACGTTCATCCTTGAGAGAGAAATCATGTTGCTCCTTTTCCTCCCTCCTCTTTTCCTCCACTCTCCAGAGGAACACTGGCAGTCGACTCTGGATTTGCTTTTAATTGCTTTGCTTACAAGTAAGCAGAAAGAGCCTGATCTTGCCAATCTCAGCAAAAAGTGGTATTGAGCAGCGTTTTGCTCTACAAACAGTCCCCACCGACTCCCAGGGAGCTTATGGAGAACAGAATCAGATCCTAAGTAGACAATAATACACTTATGTTTTTAGTACGCTTCATTTTATGCTGAAATTTTCCTCATGCTTCAATACCTCACATTTAAACATGTTTCTGACAACAAGCCTCGCAAAGCCGTACGCACAGTTGTGCTACAGAAAACTATTTTTTGGTATGTCTGAGAAAATGACATGCTAGGCGTATCCTGCCTGTCTCTGCTTTCAATCATTTCTGACGAATCCCAACTGTTTGGAAGCACAGACAGGCCTGGCAGGACACGGGTTTGCCGTCAGACCGGGAGATAGCCCTGCTTCTCTGGTGAGTATTTCCATCCTTTGGCTGTTTCCCGCGTGCAGGCTGGAAGCGAAGTAAGGCTTGCCTCTTTTTATATGCTTCCATTGTGCTTACAGTAGAGCCATATTTAAATCGGTATGCAGGCTGTCACCGAAACACAAATAATAAGAAGAACAACATGTTCCCTTGCATTTTATTCCCATTAGCATGACACAGCTGCAGTGGTTTTCCTGCCTCGTGCCCCACGTCCCAGGGCCGCTCACCGGGCTGCGGAGCTGCTCTGCACCCACGGCCACCTCTGCGGTGCACACCGACTTACCGAAAGCAACCAGCCCAAACTAGTGCCACAGGTGCTTGTAAGCTGCATCTGGCCCACTCGCTCACAAAAACAATGATGCTGGTGATGGACGAGCCCAGAGGTGTATAGGCTCACGTCGGGGGGCATTTAAGCTTAAAGACAGATGCCTACAGGATTTGTAAAAGACGCTCGGTGACTTCTTTAGTGTTCTTCAAAGGAGCTGAGGACCGAACCCATCAGCAGAAAGCGTTTTGCTGTACGCTGCCAAGTTGGCCGCGGAGAAGTTTAGCGACAGCAGAACACGTTGCTCAGTGAATAGGGCATATGGTTTGCACGATGGTGGAGATACGTGCGAGCAACAACCAACCGGTCACTATATGGCCCCACCGTATTGCCGGGGCCGTATGGCTGCAAAGCAACCTGCTCCTGTATTCCTCTGTGGGCTGGGATCGCCCGGCTGCTGATGCGAAAGCCCTCTGCGCAAGGCAGGGTGGAGAGGGAGACTTTCTGCCCGTGCCTGCAGCCCTGTGCATCTTTCCCCCTCAGCTGGCCACAAAGCAACCTTGACGTCCCTGGGAAAGAAACACCAAACGCACAAGTGCCAGAGAAAGCAGGAATCTGAGCTGCAAGGTCTGGGCTGCAGTACACTCCTGGCTGAGCCTTCAAGTGCCTTCAGCAGCACACTTTTAGCCTTAGCATTGTGGCCTGCCGTAGAATATACAAACTGCCTCAAACAATATTCCAGCAACCTTGCAAAATTTCTCTTTTGCATATACACATGTCCACAAACACCGCCCGCCCCCCTCCCCGATTTCAGTAATTCTTGGGCGGATTTACAATTTCCTAAGCAGATTGCTATAGCGACCCTTGTAGAATATTTTTTTCAAAACACTGTTGTACTGTAAATGTTTACATACAGCATAATCCTGCCAAATTATCTTAATACAAAGGAAAACACAAAGTGTCTTTGCTTTATGTCCAGCCTTCCAGCTTTTTTAGCATTGAGAATGTACTTTCAACTAACAACAGCGGCTAATTATGCCTTTCTGTGGGCTTGCACACCCTCAGGCCTAATAATGGGTCATCTATTAGCTTTAATGAATAACAAAGTTATTCGATTTACTAGTGTTAGCTGATTTCACGCATTTCTAAGTAAATTCTGAGTTAACTGAAGGGCTGAGGCTTAGCTCAAGGGCCAGACACCCAGTTGGTACAAATCAGTCACTTGATTGAAGTAATAAAAATGTTGATACTGGGGCAGGACTTTACTGATGAACATCAGTAGATTTTTTTTATAGCCTTCTTAATATGGATAATTAATGGAACGACTTAATCATTTTCAGATAACATATGTCAGAAGAAATACATGGTTCCTGTTTTAATTCACATTCTTCTGGTTTCCAGCAAGAGAGACCAACAGTCAATGGAATATAAAACTATTTGTTCATAGTGTTGTTTTAAACACTGTAATGTTCCTACATCAACATTAACAGTAGTGTGATTTATGATTACAGAACACATACATAGCTATCGAATGTCTCCCACGCCTCCACTCTGTTTCTAAGATACTAAAGCAAAGTCCAGAGCATAATATAATTTACAGCACTATAAAATCTTTTACAACTGAAGCACAGTGAAAGCTTAATATCCAAGATCTTCTGTAATATGACTATGTCATCTTGTTAAACTTCATTTATGGGGACACTAGGGTTGACAAGAACTTTCTTCACGTCACTTCCCTACTGATTATCAATATCACCTTTCTCACTTCATGGTGTTCATAGGAGGAGGTCTGCCTTTCGAAAACATAGGTTCAGATAGATAACACACTGTTTCCTCAAAGTTTATGTTTTACAGCCTTAGATCACTTGCCGAAGATCATGATCTCTTCTTTCCTAGTACAAATTTACAATGCTCTATCCAAGACAACGGGTAGTTCAAAGCATTTAGACCTAAGACATATTCTGAAGACTGTTACCCCAACCTTCTGTGATTTCTTTTCCCAAAAAAAGGAAACAAAACAAAATCTTGCAATTCTTGGATCTGAATTCTCCACTAGTTCTGCTTTTAGGATTTCAAAATAGATGACACACCCGAAAGGCCTTGTTTTGTCACAACCCTTTAGATGCCAGAGGAGACTGGCGTTGTTAATTCTTGACATTTCTACTGTATGAGAGAGCAAAAGTCCTGGGAGCCAAGTCACCTTGTGAGATTTCCATCATCTGGAGCAAAATCGATGTGAACTTGCACCTGCCTGGTCTTGGCATACCAGTGTACGAATGCAAGGCTCTGATCAACTCCGATCTGGCCTGAGAACCAAACCATCATCTCTAGTTTTATCTTAACCTACCACTGGGTTGGAAAACACTCTCCTTGAACTTTCATTACGCTGTAGAGCAAGGCAGAAAATGTTTAAAAAAATCCCACAACCTTAAACTTTTTTTTTCTTTGCTTCCACAGAGTAAGACAGTGTCCTCCTAGGCCCCAAACAGGGCCAAAGCAGGACCTCAGCTGACAGCCTGGGAAAGCACCGCAGTTGTCCCTTTTCGCACTCATCTTTCCCTCCACCACCCACTAGGAGTTACACAAATTATTCGGTCTGCTCAGTTGTTCAGCCCCGGTTTCAGCGGTCAGGAGGCCAGCTCAGCTGGGCACATCCTGCTAGTGGAAGAGGTTGATAACTTGGACACCGGTCTCTTCCAGCACCACTGACACCCTCTCCTACAACTTCACTGTACCATGGGAGAATTTCTCATTCCATAATCTCTGGATAATTTCTAATTAGTAACCTCTAATTCCATAATCTCTGGACTGACAATATTAAAAACTATTTCTAGCATGGTATTACCAGTCAAATACCAGTTGAGGAAGGAATATGTTCAGAATAAAAGTGATATGAACGGGTAGGTAGGTGTATTTTCACCCTCACAATATGACTTCTTCATACTTTTCTGGCAAGGAAAGGGAGCCTTAAAATAGAAATAAATTACAACCCCTTTTCTGTTTGGTTAAAGTAGCCTTAGAACAAACAAGAAACAGGCCTGCACATCTTAAAGGCATGGCAGCTAAGTCTGAAAACACATCTCATCTAAGTGTAATTTCCACTAAGATATCTGATCTCTCAGGCTTGCCATTGGTTGAGAACATTTTCCTATCAAGGAATTCAACATTACACTCATGGTCTTTAATGTAGACCGGCCAAATATGTTACACAAAGCATCTACAGATTTTCAACATCTTTGCTTACGTTGTAGAATGCCTAAGTCTATGAGAAGTGTCCTACAAATAAAAAGGGCTCCTTGCACAGAAGGGTGTTACTAACCATGAATACGGGTAGCAGATTCTGCGTTATATTATCCAGGACTCTACGGAATTAAACTAACACAAAAATGTGTAATTATTACAGTAGCCAAGTATACATGGAGCTCTGCTCCATATTAGTAGAAACCTGCGCTGTTACATTTACCACCGCTTCCTAAGCTTCTCTCCCTGAGATTCTTTATAAACATGACAGCCCTCTAAAATGCAGAACTTCATCTTGTCCTGATACGGCAGTTAAATCTGGAATCAACCAGCATCACAGAAAAACTTCAGCCCTCCTGGCACTTCTTCAACAAAGGACGTGTTTGTACTATTGATTGTACTGCTGAAAATAATTTCGCTGTGTTGACAGGCATCACTCAGCACAGATTGTGATGAAAAGCTGAAAATTAGAAAGTTAAATGAACACCTGCAACAATTTTCCTGCCAATTTTACAACAAAATAAATATTGAATTATTCTGATAAGTGGGTCAAATTCATCCCTGGTGTCATGGCCCTTTAAGGTTAACAGCGCTACGACAGGAATGAATTTGGCTCCTGTGTCTTTCACAGAGCAAATGCTTCACTGAACTTTTCAAACCCCCTGTGCCAACATTCATCTTCATTTAGAACCCATCTTTCCCTCTTTACTGAGCTTTTGCAGCAAAGCCATAATTTTCTTATCAACTTGCAGTCAATTATGTTGACAGTTTGACATGAATATTGTACGTACACAAAAATAATTTGCAAAACAGCTTTTTCAATTGTTAGACTTAAAGTCATTTCCATCATACATAATCTTCTTTGACATGTACAATTCCACAAGCTATCCTTCCGGGAAGAATATGCAACCCTTCGTATCACAGCAGCTTGAATAGCATTCTACCTACTTGTGGTGCTGCAGAGACTTTATGAAAAAGATACTATTATGCAGCTTCGTTTTCATCCTGTCCTTTTCTTTTCTTTTTAATTCTATTGCTAGCCGAAGCTGAGGGACACATTATTCTTCTCTTACAAAGCAAGCAAACATTTTATTCTTCCAATCTAGAAGTGCTTACATTGCAAGAAATTCCTGTAAGTCCCAGGAAATCCATGGAGGGTTACGGCATCTTGATTAGATTGCCCCTGACTCATGTTCGGGCAGGTTCTGATACTCCAACAGCAGACAAGTGTGTGGATGTCATGAAACACATTTTCCACAAATCTGCTATGGAGAGCAATGCTCCATCGGATTTCCTTATCCCCATTACAGCCTGCTCACACCTATGGATGTCCAGCTACGTCATTTAGTGAGAAGGGCTTCAGAAGGCACCCAGGAAGCAAAAAGCAGACAACAGATTATCATGTGTATGTTTTCAAGGGCCATCGAGCCCCATTTTCTGCACATTTGCCCTTTCAAACCTCAAAATAAAGGCAAAGTCTCTGATTTTAACTTTTGAGAAAGACCACTTTACCAGCTTTCGGCATCCGGGTCGTGTTCTGTAGGTACTCTCCACTCTTATACAGATTCAAAACTCTCTCTAGCTGAGCAGCTGTCTCATCTATTCCCCAGTGAAGTTCTCCTTTAAAAGCACAGAAAAAGAATGAGTTAGATGAGGAGCAACCTGCATAGGACAAAATGCGGTCACATTCGAAGAAAGCCTTAAGCATCAGAGCCCAGCAGTGCCCTGCTCTATGGTGGCCCTGTGATGTGGACATGAAATCCCTGAGTTACTAAAAATTGGGTTTCATACCTGACATGAGCCAGGCATGTCAAAGGCTGGCTCGTCCAGCTGGGAACCCCAGGCCTGTGGGCAGAAAACACTGCAGTGAGCTTCCCACAAGGGACGAACTTTAGCCAATCCAGGGAACTCCAAAGGCTTTGCTTGTTAATTAGCTATAGCCCAGCATCGTTAACTTCCCCGTTGAATGCACACAGTACAAGGTACAAAACCCCTAGAACAACGCACCGAAAACCCTCAAATCAGATTTACAGGCACACGCAACTACTCTTGTCCCAAAGGCACTACCTCGGTAATGAGTAAAGATCTATGGTAATGTCACTTGCCTCTGGCTTCTGAGGTGTAAAAGCACCACTGGTACCATTGGCAATGGGGAAGTATCCTGTTTTTATCATTAAAATTCCCCTTGCCAGAGACGGGGTTCCTCCAGATCCCGCAAGTAATTGCGTCTTCATGCAGGCCACCCCAGTGCTGAAGTGTCAGGAGGAAGTAAATTCCTCTGTGAAGCCTAGATAAAATCTCAGAATGGGTTTCTCTGGTATACGGGGCCATTCTTGCCTTCTCTGTATGGGGGAAATTTTACCCTGGATAGAAGAACAATCTGGTTCTATTGCAGTGAACATAAAAGCAGCATCTGCCCCATCCCAAACATGACAGTCACATTAAAAAAAGGAAATATTTGGCATTACCATGTTTATTCCAATTACCTGTTGCATTGACTATCTTATCCAGTAATGGTCTCAGTGAGGATGGAGCACTGTGTGGAAGAAGATATGTAAAAAAAAACCTGCAATGGAAAAGTAACCCATATTGAAAAATTTAAAAAAAGAGTTTACAAATGTCTGGTAACTACTGAACAACATAAGGAATAAAATTCCTATTGCTTATAAGCCACTGACCTATTCAGGAAATATAATCATATTCTATAGTCAAATAAATATAGAGCTAAGACTATTCACACAGCTGTCTGGCATACCTAGACCACGCTGTTATACACAAGGCTGCCTTGTAACTCTGTGTAAATGTTCCATTAACACATAAATTTGCTGTGAAGCCCCCTGGATTGTGACTATTGGCAAAGCTGTCTGTACTTTAACAAAGTAAAAGGATGCCATCAACCCCAGAAGTCTTGGGGTTTTTTTCAAACTTTGAAAGTGCATAAATCGAATTTCTGCTCATTTCAAATAACTGAATATTATTTTCTTTTCTACAGTTTTCTTAGATTTTCAAATGAATTACCAGGAGAAAGCCGCCTTCTATTGTTTTAAAGCCACTGCAATTCAGAATGTCTCCTCTGTTCTCATAATTTATTTAAATTCAAGAGGAATTCACGATGGATGTATATTCTCCATTTTAACATTTTTAATTACAAAAGAAAAAACAGTATGCCTTCACCATCACTCAAAATACACTTAATTTTCACATTGTTCCTTTAAATTCTATTACTCTGCCAATATTACTACCTATTGCAAACTCAGTATCATAGCAACCTAAGATGGAGACGGACAGTTCAGGATCTGACAATATAAACAGAACTATCAGACATAAATATTAGGTAATGAGCAGAAAAGGACACAATTGGGAAATTGCCCTGCTTTACCTCTAACCTGCAAAGCAAAGTACAATGCTTTTTCATATACAGAGACCACATGGTCAGAAACCTCCAGGGACTCATGCTCAGGAGGGAGACTAGCAGACGTCTCACATAAGCACAAATTAAAAAATTAAGTTACTGATAGCAAAAATTGATCATAGACTCAGGTATTATTGAGCTGACATAGTCTACTTACACAATGAATATTTCTTTGAGATCATAACTCCCTTTTTCGTCCCTTACAAAAACAGTATTTATGAATTTCCCAAGCAGGATTATCCCCAGGTAGGTATTCTTAGCGATGAGTATGAAACAGCCAGTATAAATACATACAGAAATCGAAGAGGCAGCATAACATTTGTAATAAATAATTTGTCTGGTAAATTTTACCTCACTTTTTTTGCTTAGAGATTATCCATAAAGCAGAGTCTGACTGAATGTGAATTGCAAAAATTCAGTGCCTGTCTTTTACTTTGCTAAATGCTGGATGAATGCGAGTCACGGAGGTTCTTGTTTTTCTGTGGCTATAGAAATATACAACTTGTTCTAATGCAAACACCCACATGTGAAACTCTGACGTGTAGAGACACTTGTGCCTGCACAACTTAATTGCAGGAACATTTATTATTCATCGATCGCAGGGCCAGTGGCATCCTTTGTGATCTGCGTAACGCAGATTGTCAGACCCTTTTGCATTTGTTCCTACAGCCTTTTTTTTTCCTGTCTTTTTTCTTTTTGGGAACTATCTGATCTTAAGAACCATCAATGACGGAGAATTAATCTCAGCCATTGGTTAATAGTTCAAAATATTAAATCATTATCCTTACTTTTAAAACTGAAAATTGTTCCTCCAAACATTTGGAGGAAAACCCATAGAGACACATTTGTGACAGAAGGTAACCATCTGAAAGTCACGATGGGCCAGTCCTTGCATAGTAGAGTTTTTTTCAGAATGTTCTTTCCTTTAATTATTTACCTCATAAAGAAACCAGCTAGATAGGCTAATTACACTTTCAAGGCTAGTGCCTGCTATATTTTAAAATTACAAGGGGTTTGTGCATTGTTTGACATATTGCTGCTTTTGACTTCTACCTAACAGCACCAGCAACCCTTTACTGAGGGCAATCTCTAACCCTACAGCAACAGAGTGCGTCCGTGAAAATACGAAATTTAGTAGCCTACCCCTAACGAAGTGAGGATTTAGCTTTCCAAGACAAGTGTACAGAGTTTGTTGCTAAAGCCCTAGCACGGGTGGTCGCAGCCTACTATAGCATGAATCTGCTGTTGAACAAAACCTCACTGTCTCTATCAAATTAAGCAAAAGCAGGGGCTGAAAGCACTGGGGCACTGTGCGTGTGCTACAGAGTGGTGCGCGGTTCAAAGGCAATACTAAGAACTGTAATAGAAAAAGACCACTTCCTTCAGCGAGACCAGCAACCTGCCGCAAGCCCACCACACCGCAGACAGATCCCCACTTACAACTGAGATGGATGGGTGCCTATTAAAGGTTTCTTAGCCAGACCAGTAAAATGGTCTTAACCAAAAGCTAGCAAGCTAAGCAAGATCTTTAAGCCAAGCAAATGGAAATGGAAAATTTTGGAGGACACACTAAAAACTGCGCTGCACAACTGCAGAGGGCTGTCATGTGGTGCAGCCCATTTCAGTGTGGTCAGCTAATGCAACACACATGCTGGTGAGCACCCTGGGACCAAAGCAGAAGACTCTCTTTGGAGCAGCCTCTCCTCGCTGTGGTCTGGCAGGCAGTGAACGGCACGATGCTTGAAAGGGAACTCTAAGAAATAAGCACACCATTACGGCATTGCTTTGAGATCCTCCATCCTCCTGTCTGGATCGGACCAGGCGGCTGCCTGCCCCAGCAGCGTCCATCAGCCGGAGCGGCGGCAGGAGCGTGGCACCGAGCGTCGGCCACGGGCTCCCCAGAAAGTGGCGACACGGCTCCCCCAGCACCCCGCACAGCCCTCCGAGGGAAGCGATGGCCGACGGGGGAGAGCCAAGACCACAAGCGCAAAGCCATCGCCCAGAAGGACTCCGCTGTAAATTCAGAGAAGCCCTTAAAATCAAATTTGGAAGACAGACGGGACCTACGCGTCCCCCATTGCGGGCACGGCGCTGCCACGGAGCGGGAGCAGCACCGGGAGCGAGTCCCTCAGCGTCTGCCTGTGCAGAGAAGGGGGCTGCGGGCAGAGGGGCAAAAGGGAGCACCCCTTGCTTTCAAAGGTTTGGGATTATGCCCCAGTTCGTCAGCAACTGAGGGTCTCGGTGGCCCCGCGGCTGCACCGGTGCCTGTTATAACCCTACCATGGCAGGCTCTGGTGAGGCAGAGAGCATCGAGCCAGAGCGCAGGATGAGAGCCCAGCGTTTCTCTGCATCTGAAGACAGCTCTTTGCTCAGCTGGTGGTGAAAAACGTGTCACGACCCCTCTTAACTCACACCGAAGAAGAGCTGCCTGAATGACCTCACCACAGAGCTAACGGGCCCCCAACTCCACAGGCACCTCTGTTTCACTCCTGTGAAAATCTCTACTTGTGTGAAGAATTCAGTGGGATTAAGCCAATGTAAAATTAGACCAAGTGGTGAATCACACTCAAAGTATGCAAAACAATTCCAAAGTTATAAATGCTATGCATTTTCACAAATGAAACAATTATTCATGGCTTGACTTACTCTTGGGTAACGGTTCTGAGACAATATGTACTTGTTGATGTGAATAACTATAAAGGATGCGGGAGACTTTTTGCCTGCTTTCAATTTTCTTTTACCTTATCCGATCACGCACCTATAGGCATTGTAGAGATTCCTCTTTTCATTCATACTCTGACACCGTCCCTCAACCGAACAGGGCAGTGTGAAGTTCCTCGCAGGGAATTCCATGAAGCAGTCGCTGTTACTGGTGCAAGAGCTCTCCTCAATGCTGGCATCATCCAGATCCGTCACCTTCAGTTCCCCATCCACGATCACAAACTGCCGAGGGCGAAAATCCAGTAACGTCACAGAGCCAAGAGGAGAGTGAGCCAAATAATGCAGAAGCCGAACTAAGCTGAGACAAATCTGAAATGCAAAAAACGTAGGTACCTTGCGTTATTTTCTCAGTACAAAGTATATAAATGAAACCACTTTAGCTGAAGATATATCCATAAATATATGACTTAATATAAGTGTTTTAACTTATTCTCAAAACTGAATCTTGCAACTAAGGTATTTTTCATAGGATTAACATAGCTGATTGTAAAACCCTTAGAGACTTGAAACAAAAATAAGCTTCTTTACCAGCGCTTTCCCACACTATTCTTGACGCAGGGCTTATTGTTGCTATTCTTACTTTTAAGAGAAAGAAAAGCATTAACTTTTAATAACACATTACGCACAGGCCTTGACCACGCAGCCTGATTCTGCTCTTTTACAAACTCCAGGTCTGGAAGTTTTGGCCGGACAACTCTGCACCCACACCTGGAGCTCCAACTCCAGACAGTGTCTGTATTGCCTCCATACTGATCCTGCCTTTTGACTGCTTTTATAATTTTTTTTCCACTGGTTCCGCTCATGTTTGCCTTTTTCCAGGGGAAAAGGAAGCAAATTCCCAGAAAGAGGAACCCCACAGCTCCTCCGTAACTCTTTGTTGTGCCTCAAGGTGAGTATGTCCACCTGCCTTGGTAGGTCTACCTTGATGGACCCTCATGTGCCACTTTGAGGCTGATGCTGCACTTTTCAGCTGCAGGTTAAAAATCTGAGTAACTATTACTAGACAGCAAACTCAACGAACGTTGAACTCAGCCCCCTTACCAAAGGACTGGTTTCAATTCCCGCATTCCTTTAGAGTCCACTATGTAATATATTAATCTAAATGTAGCATTATTATGAACACAGTTAAATACTGGAATTTTTATTCTACATGTTAAATTAATAACAGGTCTCATTCAGTCTAGCAAGCTTTTTATTGTTTATACATAATCTTTGTTTTCTGTTAAAATTCGCTGTTAAGGCCACGTGCATTGAAGTAGTCAAATCCAAATTCAGTCTCGGGGCATAAATGGTATACTTAGGGGAGCACCTAAATGCACCCTTCGTAAGAAAGCTGAGCGTGTCTGAAGTTATCCCGCACAGACCCTTCTCCTGTGGGACATTAGGACTACCTTAACACTTCTATAATCATTTCCCTGCTTGACAAGACTAGAACATTTTTAACCTACTTACAGCATACCACAGTTCACATGGAGATGCCTGTAGGTGTAGATGAACACAGGCCTGGTTATGGGACGCCAGACTTGACCACCCTTTCCTTCCTCTGGAAGGACACAGGATTCATGTATGTGCCATCCTGCAACACGCTGTATATAAAAGGCACATCCAGCCCTAACTAACCTATAATACACATATCTTCAATTGCCAATGAACCCAGAATTTAGCTTGGATAAAAACACAGGTTGTCATCTGAAATTATTGCCTTTTTTCAAATGCCAAAAAGCCCCCGCTCCTGCACTGGGAACCTCTGCGACCAGCCCCGACAGGCTGCTGCCCTGTGTACCCGCTGCCAGGCTGGGACTGCAAATGCCCCCGTACAACAAGCTTTAAGCACACAGATGAAGGCTTTGCTCAGTACCACACACCTCTGCTGAGCGCAGAGGTGCCGATCTTGGGAGAAGCTAACTGCCGAGTCCTTCAACAGAAGGAAATTATTATCCGTAGGAATAAGGTCAAATATTTACGCAGTCATTTTTGGGACTGGACCACAAACAAGTCTCACGTATCAAGATGTGATTTTACTTCCTCCTTCTTCTCTGCCTTAGTTGCGTCCTAGACAAGCTAATGAGCCTGATGTTATCTGAGACTTCATTAGAGCAGTCATAGGAATATTTCATCTATAATTCCACCTCTGAGAATCAGCTCAGCACCTTCATCTAATTCTCCTTCATCTCCCTTTGCAATTGCTCACTCAGAAAACCCAGGCTGGAAGGAAACTTCCCTGTTTATTACCCATAATCTAACATATCTCTTGGTCATTCACTTTGTACGTAGTTGCCGTCACAGTCCGTTATTTGCATTCCCTGGATGAGACGAGCCGAAGACAGGTCCTGTACTTCAGGAGCCGTGACAAGTACCTCTACTGCTTATTAAGACGGTACTTCTTCCAGGAAAAGGGAGCTGAAGCCTAGCGGAGGGAACACGCTTGTTCCATCTGTATTAGTAAAATAAACTCTGCCAGGGAACATTCCTGGGCACAGAAACTTAATCCCACATGCACACTTGCTAGCACAGTCTCTGGCCCGGGTTTGACAGGACCGAGGCTGTTCTCCCGCAGTCCCCAGACGTGACCCAGAAGGCAGCACAGCCCAGGGACCGTTTCTGACCAGCATCCTGCGTGCAGCCACCCGGCCTTCAGAGTGCAAGAATGCGATAGTACAGACGTGGGCTGCACCTTGCTGGTTCGCCTCCAAGATCAGTCAGGCACACTTTTAGTTTTCTGGTACAGATGTAGCCATGCAATCCAAAGTGGTTTAGATGAAGACTGCTGCTGCCTTGCAACGTCTTAAGGAGTTAACCTCAGCCGACAGCACATCCCAATATACACGGAGCGAGACAGCGCTGTCTTGATCAAAGCATTGCTGCAGTCTGGCTTCATTTTGGACAAATTAAGTGTGACCTTCGTGCTCCTGGTAAACTGCCAACGTGGTGGATAACCTGGCTTTGAGATCTGTGTACGTTTATTTCAATATTCCCCCAGTAAAAGACAAACAGAGCAGGAAGCAGTAGAAAACAATTCTAAAACCAACCTATGATAAGGATCAGGAGAGAAATATAACATCCTTCTATTGTTTAAATCCCAGTTGCAGAGCACAACGCTCAACACCAAAAATCCTGGGCCTCGAGCTTTAACAAGTAAGCAATGTTTGAAGATATCATGTAAAAATCATATAACCAGCTACATTTAGATAACATCAACAGACAAAATAGCATGATATCTTAAACACTGCAGAAAGGGAGTGCTGAAAGTTGTTTCTAAACCAGGATGTAATCATATGCAAAGCAAATGGTTAATAAATGTGAATTGCACTGCATAGTACATAACCCCTGCTTCATCCCTGATGTTATTTTGTATTCATCACTCTCTTAAAAGTCCTTTTAAAACAGTTGTTACTCACTCGAAATCTGTCTTCCCAGGAAGTCTGTAAAAGCTGAATCATCTCTAAAGGCGAGCCTAGTTCAGTGATGGTCGTCAGTGTGTCTGGGATGTCATTGCTATCTTGGTAGCAATAGCCATAGAGCTGAAAAAAATCACAACCGGGCAATATCAGTGTAACGTATCTCAGCAAGCTTTTACGTTTCTCTATGGATGAGGTGCAAAGTAAGCATTTCTTACAAGGCTCTGAGCTCCACACATTGTCTTGGCTTGAAGTCACCCCCCAATAGCTTTTGTGTCCTCCCATTTGAGGAACACTCTCTCAAAAGTCCCAAATTAGCTAGCAGAGTTTCCTGGGGGCATCATACAGCACAAGGCCAGTGACGTGCCCCCTGCATACCCCTCCGTACAGGCTCTTATCTCAGTGAATGTTCTATTGGGTTTGCGTGGCAAGGTTTTGGCAGCGAGGGGGTTACAGGGGTGGCTTCTGTGAGAAGCCGCTAGAAGCTTCCCCCATGGCCGACAGAGCCAATGCCAGCCAGCTCCAAGTCAGACCCGCCGCTGGCCAAGGCCAAGCCCATCAGCGACGGTGGCAGCACCTCTGGGATAACAGATTTAAGAAGGGGGGGGAAACCAAACACCTGAGCAATTGCAGCCAGGAGAGAGGAGTGGGAATACGTGAGAGAAACAACCCTGCAGACCCCCAGGTCAGTGAAGAAGGAGGGGGAGGAGGTGCTCCAGGTGCTGGAGCAGATTCCCCTGCAGCCCATGGGGAAGACCATGGTGAGGCAGGCTGTCCCCCTGCAGCCCACGGAGGTCCACGGTGGAGCAGATATCCACCTGCAGCCCGGGGAGGACCCCACGCCAAAGCAGGTGGGTGTCTGAAGGAGGCTGTGACCCCGGGGAAAGCCCACGCTGGACCAGGTTCCTGGCAGGACCTCTGGACCCGTGGACAGAGGAGCCCACACTGGAGCAGGTTTGCTGGCAGGACTTGTGACCCCATGGGGACCCACACTGGAGCAGTCTGTGCCTGAAGGACTGCAGCCCACGGAAGGGACCCACGCTGGAGCAGTTCGTGAAGAACTGCAACCCATGGGAAGGACTCATGTTGGGGAAGTTCATGGAGGACTGTCTCCTGTGGGAGGGACCCCACGCTGGAGCAGAGGAAGAGTGTGAGGAGTCCTGCCCCTGAGGAGGAAGGAGCGGCAGAGACAACGTGTGATGAACTGACCCCAACCCCCATTCCCCGTCCCCCTGCGCCACTGGGAGGGAGGAGGTAGACAACACCAGGAGTGGAGTTGTGCCCAGCAAGAAGAGAGGGGTGGGGAGAAGGTGTTTTAAGATTTGGGTTTATTTCTCATTACCCTACTCTGATTTGACTGGTAATAAACTAAATGAATTTCCCCAAGTCAAGTCTGTTTTGCCCGTGATGGTAATTGGTGAGTGATCTCTCCCTGTCCTTATCTTGACCCACGAGCCTTTCATTATATTTTCTCTCCCCTGTCCAATTGAGAAGGGGAGCGACACAGTGGCTTTGGTGGGCACCTGGCATCCAGCCAGGGTCAAACTACCACAAATGTTTAAGAAAAACATATCATAGTTTAAAATATCAATGAATGCAGAAACAGAATTCTATCTGAGGAAAATTAGTTTAGCCTATGCAGTATCTGGCTAAATAAGACTGATTTTCTGCTTAAAAGACATCACAAAGTAGCTTTTAATGACAGTTCCCATAGGACTACTTTTTGTGCATTGAGTGGCAATGTGTATTTCAATGACATGGTAGCTTGAAAAGCAATTGAAATGCCAGAATTTATCTTTTCCCAGCCAGAAATTGCTTCTCGCTATACTTGATGGACTTTTGTGGGCAGTACCTTTAAAGAAGGGCAAATACTCCAAAATATTATCTGCCAGTAGCTTCATCAATTTAAAAGCATTTAAATGGCAATTTTGATCTATGCTCCAGCTCTTTCTTGTATTTGCTTTCCAAGGACATTTGAATGATTAATTTTCACTTGCATAAATAATTGCACAAGAATATTTAAAGACTGTGGAGAAGAGATGTCTTGCTTTATATGGAGTGGGACAACATCTGACAGGGCTGGGGGACGGGCTTTTACAAACTCCCTGCCAAGCCCTGGCAGAGAGGCAGTTAAATGAGCCTGATAAGGATCTGATTGCAACTTTCCAGCCCAAACAGCATGCACATGAAATAAAATTAAATGTAATCTCTGCCCCCAGTCAAATAAACCATACAGGAAAAGGGTCTGTGTGAAAAGGCAGCATTAAAAAATGTCCTGCTGCTATTCCTCACTGCCTTGCCCTGAATTAACTTTTCAAACCTCTTTTAGTTTTAAAAAGCTCAGGGAAGATGATGGAGGTCTCCTCTGAGCTGAGGGGACTCAGATATGGCCCTGCAGCAGGCAGCAGGCTCATGCAGACAGGAACGAGGTCCAACCCTAATTCACCAGGAAAGCAGGGAGCCTGCCCAGATTGCCATCGCTGGAGGGAGCAGGGTGAGGCTGAACATAACCACTGCAAGCAGATTTGAGTATCAAGCACATTCTTACGGCTTGTGACCCTCCCAGCCAGAAAAGCAAAGACCAGGCTAAAGTCAGCAAATACGGAATTTGTTATGAACTGTTCTGCTAGCTCTGACTGTAGCTGTCTACATTTGAAGGAAAAAGGGGTGCCGAAAAATGTAAAAGAAGTAAATGTTTTTCTTTTTGGTGTAAAAATGGTGCTGTATTTCAAAACAGCTGCTTAAGCATGGATGTTAACCTAAACAGAAAAAGAGCTAGAAGATTTTATTTTAAAACATGCCGAAAAGATTTTGGCATCGATGCACAACAGAGAATTTGTGATAGATGCCGATATGAACATTTGAAATAGGAAAAGGGACCTTTCTCTTTACTGCCACAACCATGACAAAGATTGCAACGGCAATCATTTCTTCATCTAGAGCCATTCAGACCAGACTTGGGTTTGTTCCTTATCATCTCTGACACCATTTTGGTGCAGCTTGATGGGAGTTAAATCTTCGTGTGCTGCAAACTGTCTTACAGGATTGCATCAGCACAATTCTGTTCAAGCCTTCTGAACTAAGAAAAAATGAAATTAAATGAAAATATTGAATACAATATATATCTCTTCTCAGAGACAAGCTGGATTTGGCAGTTCTTACTAGGTATTTCACGTCTCTCTTGGGTGGGGGCAGACTAAGGAGGCAGGATGAAGCTCGGTAGGTTTGAAAACCCTCGCTTCTGAGTGTCAAAATCTAACATCTGTTTTTGTATCATCTGCAGAGTTCAGCTCTTGTCTTTAGCACAGTAGCACTGTCTGTTGGGGAAAAAGCCATAAGGGAAATGAGCAAGCAAGCCAGACTGGGAAAGGACAGTCTAGCAATAACTGCTGGTTCACAGTAACACTGCATACAAAAAAGATATCAGTCTTCATTAGACATTCTCAATGTTTGTGAAAACCATTCCAGTAATAGAAATACGGAAGACGAATGACAATTATACATACCTTTGATTACAAAAACGTAATACATACATATCTGTACACACAAAATATTGATAAATTAGTCTATTTATGTCCATATGAACACATAAGTAGAAATTAATTACAGTATCTATTTGTGTCTATTTTATCTCAATCCATGAATGCCAATAGTAATAATAATGATTTAGACTTGTTCTCAGAGAGCTGAAACTTTGCTCCTAAGTAATTCTTTCATTTTAGTATCCAATTTGTACCTTGACAAAAGTCTTCACTGCCTGAGTAGCTGGATATTTGGTGTATATTTTACTATATTAATACCCATTTAATCACTTCAGTCATTGTGGAAGCTTAAATGACCCGATCCAGTTTTGGTTTCATATTAAATTGCTCTTTATTCTCATAAGAAGATTTTCTTGCATGAGTACTGCTGAACTTAATCAATCTCACAAGCTGAAAAACACAGTACAGTGCAAGTTAGTGTAGGTCTAACTCAAAAAATATATAATCTAACCTGAGCTCTTTATTGTTTTTACTTAAGTGAAACCTCTCCAGATGCAGTGTTATTACATAATTATATAGAGTTATAAAAGCACAGAAGTCTGAGATATAAAGGATTTATTGGGCCACATTTATACTTTTCTAAACGAACTCCTGAAACTAAATGCAAAAGTGCACATGTAATTACATGGCCATATTTGTATGTGCAATTACGATGATTACAAACTGGGCAAGTCCCAACAGCCAGTTAAGCATCTAAAATGGTTACATTCATCCCCTCCTGATGAACCACCAGCCAGCATACAGATGTTACAAAATACAGAATATATATAGATGCAAAATATTCCAAGACAGTAATTCTTAGGCCTTCCATTCAAGAAGCCAACTTATTAAGACATAGAAACAAATACAGAGGTACTACCCAAAATACTTTTTCTTTTTCCCCTTCCTTTTGTTTTTGTCCAATCCATTTTAAGGTCTGAAATGAGACAAAATGGTTTGTATTCCCGGACGGTGAAGTAAGAAACAGATAGCTGGATGCATACAATAACAAGAAAAATAACCACACGGGGAAACTGAATATAGCTGGAAGCAAAAGATGAGCCAAAATATCTCCTCTATCTGAAATTCTATTAGGTTGGACATCATTCTCAGCGTCGCAAAGCTACACTTTAGATATATTCAGGAGTGATGGTTTTCATACGCCTTTTCAGTATGGTTCCAATTAAATGAATGGAAAGAAATACAATCCCACATCTTTTTGCTATCTCGAGTCGCTGCATTTAAATGCCACCCTAGTATATTTTTGTGTAGAATCTAATAGCAAACAGTCGCAATATCGGGATGCCTTTCTGTCTGTTTAGAAAAAAGTAGGCCAGATATGAAATGTTGACTTGTTGTCACATCGTGTGCCGTAATTCATTTTGAGTAGCCCTGTTTACCAAACCCTTCCCTCGCTGTTTGCATTTTCTCAGTCATAAAGGCTGGGTCCTGCATTAGTCTTTACGTACCCAAAACCTGCACTGACTGCCACAGTTTTTAGGCATGCTGGCCATACAGGGTCAGCCCCTGCGGAAGTTATATTGCTTTGTAGAAGCCCATGTCCCTACAGCCGGCCAGTTCACCTCCCTTTACAACTCCTTT